ATTTATAAATATTGCTATAGAAGATTATTTTTGTTATGGAAAAATATATCATTTTAAATAAAAACACATGCATAGAAATAAATGATATCTTTGGTTTATAAAATTATTAATGATGTTTTTCTCTTCCAAATTTTCTACATTGAAAACTAAAAGTAACAATAAGTGTTTTTTTTAAAAAAAAAAAACTTATGTCATCTCAAAAATAACCAAAAGTTAAAATTCATCAGGCAGATTACATCAGAAAAATTGAAACATTGTGTAATGGCGCAATGCTTCCGTCCTTAACGTCTCAAAGCTCATATTATATCTTTGGGGATTAAAAGTTGACATCTAGATCCATTTTTATATCAATTTTCATTTTCGCTTTTCAGTGCCTTAAAACCTATATATCCAATGTGCACTGAGAGCTTCCAAACATATGTAAATATACAATCCAGAAGCTTCTTCCCTGGTTAAAATCTAAATGGAAAATGTTGAAACTAACACATGTTCTGCTCTATAACTAATATTGAAAAGTTTTTGGTATGATGTGACTTTCTTGTTTTTTATTTGTTCATTTTGTGTAAAAAGATATATATCAGCATTTAGGTTTTAGAATTTTGCCAGAGACAGGAGCCAGCAGATATAATGACATAAAATGCAATTGATTGGAGTATACTTTAGTTACCTCTTAGCATCGCCCATCTGGACATGGAGGATGTATAAATCCAGTAAGTAACTTTTAGTTGAGAAACAGGAAATAAAATGTTAGGTATAAGACAGCAAAATATTTCAAGCCAAAGGCGAAGCTTGAAGGGAGAACATGAAACAGGATAGGAGAAAAAGGAGGTGAATAGTGAGGTAATAAATTCTGTCATATTAGTTTTGGAGAGAACAATTGGAAATGGACACAAAGCATCTGGTAAGTTACTCAAATTAAAATAAACTAAAAACCAGGGGGGAAAAGATGTCTTTTTTTTTTTTTTACAAGATAAAAACAGCTTTAACTAACTCTTTCCAAATATGTATCACCAATTCTAAGAAAAGTTGTTTGTTCCTGTATGGTTAGAGGTCAGTAGGGCACATCATTTCTTGGTTACCTTGAAATAAAATGGTCCCTATATGATAAAGCTTGGTTTTTAAAGCCTCAAACCGTGAGTAGTGTATTGGCAGCACCAATATGCAGGCTCAGGCTCCAACTTAGATATGTGGAGAAATGACATGGGGTGGCATATGAAGGCAGCAGGACCACTGTCGGGGCGGCGGGGAATCACCTCAGTCCCAGCTCATGGTGCTTTCGCAAAACAAGGCCTGCAGCAAAGTCCTAGCATTTAACTATGAGAATGGGGTAGAGGTAGGGGGGAGGTGCACAAAGATGAAACAAAAGGAACTCTAGGAAGATCCAGAAAGAAAAATGAAAAAGAAAAGTGGAAATAAAAGAAGAGAAAGAGAAGAAAAAAAGAGAGAGAGAGAAAGGGAAGGAAGAAAGGAAAAAAAAAGTTGAGAAGGGATTAAAAAGGGCTGCAGCTAACATTTAAGGCAGAGCCCAGGGCAGGGGGCCAGGACAGACAGCAGCTCTGCTCACTCTTTGCCACCTTCCCGTAGGTAATATCCTCAGACCCAGGCAAGAGACCCCCTGTTCTGGTCCTGAGCTTTAGAGAGCCCTGCACTAGCCCTCCTCCATCTTATTGGAGCCAAAGGAACAGGGTCAAGTGGACATGGTCACTCAGAACCCATGTCCCCACTTCTAAATATTATTCAGTAAACTTTAAGCCCTAGAATTCTCTATGCAAATGGCCCCCAGATGCCATGTAAGCTTCCAAGGTTTACATGGGCACTTTTTCAGCATCATCTTTTGGAAGGTGGTTTACACCTCTGATGTATGCACACCCAGCTCTGAGAGACAGCCAAAGAATAGCCACTTGTAGTATAGGAGTGTATGTGGGGTTTGGACACGGCCTAGGTTGTCCACATGTGTGTAATACTTGAGGTCCTTCAATGTGTTGGATGGAGCTGGGAGGGGAACAAGAGAGGAGACAGCAGCCAGTAGTCAGTGGCAGCTTCTCCCAATCACATTTGACATAGAACCCATAGGATTCCAAGATTCTGCATTAAAATCTGACCTTCCAGGTTGTTATGAAGAAACATTTCTCAAGGTAAGAAAATAAAAATAATCCCACTTAATATGTTGCTAACTTGATTTGAAACTATTAAATATTTAAATATGTGATATATGGTTTTCCAGCTACACTCTTGCTCCAGGCCTGCAAAACCTGCTATGGGCCATACATGTAGGGGCAGGATAGACAGATAGACTTTATTTGTGTGTAAATAGAGGAGAATTTTTGCTCACACAGAAAACACCAACAAGTGTTTTTAGTATATCTCTATATACATAACATAGTTATGGCATGGTTAAGCCAATCTACAATATACTTTGGAACATAAAATAAATGTGACTGTTTTTAGTGTTAGAGTAAGATTCTTCCACATATAGTTACCTGGTTTAGTCAGTTACTAAGTATGGCAGATTGTGGCTTCCATAAATGACCACAAGAACGCTTCTCATCCCACATGCTCTTCCAGAACCTCGCCATTCGCCCATCAAGCGGTAAAATCTAGATCTCCTCCCTGGAACCAGGGTGAGCTTTTATCACCTCCTTAACTAATAGAGTACAGCAAAAGCAGCACTATATGATATTTGAGAATAGAACATGAAAAACAATACAACTTCCTTGTAGCTCTCTCTGGGGACACTTATTTTTGGAATCCAGTCACCATGCTATAAGGAAACCAAGCACCTATGTGGAGAGGCCAAACATAGGCATTCCCGCTCACATTCCTAGCTGAAGTCCCAGCCAAGAGTCAGAATCTACCACCAGACATGTGAGTGAGCAAGCCTTCAGAATATTTCATCCTCCACACGCCCATTCCAGAGACTTTACACATATCATTGATTCCTGAGCTAAATTATTAACTGCAAATTATTGTTGTTGTTTTAAGGCACTAAGTTCGGGATGCTTTATTGCTCAGCAATAGATAAATAGATGCCTAAATATGAAATTTTATTTTAAAATGTGTTATTACATAACAAATATCTCACTGTTAAAAATAAAATTTAAAAAAGAATAAGCTACTTAAGCAAAAATTGAGTTATGGTTCTTTCCACATATTCAACAGGCTTAACTCTATTTAATAATTTTAATGTCTGAATTTAGTTAAATTTAATGAAGGACAACATCACATTGATTACAATGTCCGATATTAAAAAAAAAAAAAAAAGAAAACATAAAATAACTGTTGGTGAGGATGTGGAGAAATTAGAATCCTTGTGTGTTGCCAGTAAGGAAGTGAAATAGTACAGCTGCTGTGGAGAACAGTATGGTGGTTCCTCAAATAAATAAATAAATAAATAAACAAAAATAAAACTACCATATGATCCAGCAATTCCACCTCTGGGTATATATCCAAAATAATTGGAAGAAATATATGGTCTAGAGAAATATATGCATACCCACGATCATAGCAGCATTATTCACAGCATTATTCCAAAAGTTAGAAGCAACCCACGTGTTCACTGTTGGATGAATGGATAAACAAAACTCTGCATACACATATAATGGAATATTATTCAACCTTATAAAGGAAGGATATTCTGTCGCATGCTACGACATGGATGAACCTTGAGGAGATTATGCTAAGTGAAATAAGCCAGTCAAAAAGGCAAATGCTATATGGTTTTACATTCATAAGGTACCTAGACTAGTCAAATTTATAGAGACAGACAGAATGGTGGTCACTGGGGGCTGGGGTAGGGGGAATGCGAAATAGTTATTTAATGGGTATAGAATTTCAGTTTTGCAACATGAAAAAGAGTTCTGGCGATTGGTTGCACAACAATATGATTGTACTTAACACCACTGGTCTGTACACTTAGAAATGGTTAAATGATAAATTTTATGTTATGTGTATTTTATCACAATTAAAATTTTTTTTAATTAATCAAGGACTTTTTAGGCTCCATGATTCCAGACTTTCCCCCAGTCTTATTCATTCTCATATCATATCGACATAGCTAATGTTTATTATAGAATAAAATCACCTGAATTTTCTCCTAAATTTGCGTAAGCAATATTGCTCAACAAATTTGGTGATATTTTCTGAAATTTAATAATGTTTAGGCCAACAAACTGTTGGCCAATGAAACAGGGAATCTGACACTTATTTCATTGGTTCTTTAATAATAATAATGTATTTCATAAACAATACATTGTGGTGCATAACATCTTTTTAAGACTGATGGTAAAGGCTCTGATTAGTGTTTATTTCTATCCATGTTTGATTCTTATAGTCAATTATTCATTCATATTTTATATTTCAAGTTTGAAATCTGTACAAACTGTTTGATTCATACAGTTATGTTCCTAGATGTGGCCCATTAATGTTTATTGTAGACAATTACAATTTTCAAAAATGAAAAAATTGTTTTCTTTATCCTGTACAGCAAATGGTTTTCTCATTTTACATTGCTGAACAAATTGAAAATATCTGCAATTACTTTGAATTATTAATTTCAAAAAAGAAAATATTTCATCAGTATTTCTTTGGGGAATTGAAATTGTAATTTCACAGGCTACAGTCCAACAGATAGACTCCTTTTTTAAAAAAATAATAATAATACTCAGAAGCAGAGATGATGTTTAAGAAAAAAAAGTCACGATAAAAACATCAGTAAATTGTTTCAATAAAAAAATTCACTTAAAAAAATTATAATATACTGATTAGAACTTAAAATTGTTCCCAATGCCTTTCATTTGTTTACCTTGGAAGAAAAAATTACTCATATCAGAGCCACCTTCCTGATGACAGCATCGCATGAGTGTTTTGACCTAAATAAATTATTGTTGACGTTCGCCTTCTGCCTTAATATTTGGGTATTACACACAGAAGAAAAAGAAGAATTTCTACTCAACAGTACCCAAGGTAAGATTTTCTTTCTAGTAGGAATAAGTTCAAGTACGTAGAGCAATTTTTTAATACTAACACTTTTTTATAGTTTATAATACAATGACCCACATGGTTCCTGTCCCAGGATAGTATTGTGATTTAAAATATGCAATCCTTGCAAACAAATCTAATTTCAACTTCAAAATAAATCAAGTCTTTTCTTTTATTCCCTGAATAGTATGATGAGGATACATGAGTCTCAGCAATTCTTCTTAAAATCCTCTTTCTTTCCTCCATCCCCATCTGTCACTGTCATACATGATTTATTTCTGGACCTTTCTCCTCAAATCCTCCAAAAACTCTCCCCTACCTTCAGTTTCTTCTACTAGTTTCTACTATTATACTCTTTTCTACTATTTTCAACTTATCTTTCCTCTCCTAGCCCCTCATTATATAAATTGACATTATATGTAAATAGGACATTATATATAAATCGACACTAAATTGTCCTCTTTCATCCTCCCACTATTCCCATTTATATCTTTGTTCTCCTATTCTTTTTCTAAGAGAACTGGCAAGACACCTTTTCAGGGGGAAAAAAACGACTGAGCAAAGCTGAAAATATCTCTTTTGTAGACAGGTTGTAAATATGAGAAAGACAAAAACTCTTCATACCACCAGTAATTTTGGGTTTGCTACACTGTAATAGCTACAAAATATATACTGAGTTTTCCATAAAAATATAAAGCTGTTCAATGAAGACTCTCTAAACTTAAAATTCTGAAGCCCCCTTTCATTCCATACCGTAATTTTTAAATAACATCAGCAGCAAGAGCCTAATAAATTGAAGGTTCCCTCCACTTGTTTTTAAGGACCTCAGAGAGTTTCAAACCTAGAAGAAAATAGTGTTAGTGTGACTGCTTTTGCTCTTACACTTTCCTGCTTTGGAGAGTTGCCGTGATCTGGATTGAAATTTTGGCCCTAAGCACCATGAAATCCCCGCCCCCCCGTGATATGATGTGAGTCCCAAGAAACATCTGGGGATTTTGCGTAACGAGTCTCTAAATCTTCATTTCCCCATGCGGCAAACATACAGGTTGCACACTATGATTTAATCAGCTGCCTTTAGAAAAACAGGCACTTAGAATTCTAACATACTGGAACCAGTTGTGGTATTTTGAAAGTCACAGCAGGACCAGCTCACACCCTAGGACAGCTCTCAGTCGAGTTCTTTCTCTCATAGTTCTCTTCTTTGTACAAAGCAAACTTTTCTTCCTTCGGTCAAAAGGACACAGCTATCGACATGAAAGCACAGTTCTCTTGTCTCATGAATCACAGAGTGACTTGGTTCCACATTAGGTCACCATAGAACACAGACTGTAACAGGAACACATAAAAATCCTAAAAGGGGAGGGGAGAGACGCTGTTCTGGAATATCGTTGCCAGAGTAACATAAACCTTGTGTGTTTTCACAAGGAAATGAGTCACTTGTTTCTGTTGGCTAAAACTCTGTTTTCTTTAATTTCATATTTTAGTTGTCTAATATATGCCGAAAGAGCCCAGGGTTTCCAGTCTTCAAATGAAGCTATCTTGCTAATTAAGAACTCAACAGAGGGTTCGCATGGTAAGTAAACAGAACGGGATAAAAAGAACACTCAAGCAACCGGGAGCATACAGGGAAGGCAAGAGTGAGCACTCAAATGCAATCAGCGCTTTGAGAGGGAGCCCTGGGGGTGAGGGCAGGGGTGGGCTCTGCACTTTGAGATAATTCAGAATTAAACAGCTAGAAGTAAAATGTGCTGAATCCAATTTGTTTAAAAATATATAGTATACTCAGACAAAGTCAGAATGTGTTTGTCTTGAATTATTGGGCTATTTTAATGTTTTTTCTTCTTTGGGCTAGTTTAGTATTAGAAAATATTAGTGCCAGAATTGCAAATGCAAATGAGCACATGGCTGAGGCTGGCTATGGGATAACCAGGAGGGGTGGGGACTGTGGCATTCAAGCAAAACCGTTTAAGCAAACAACACATATCTGTGAGCCAGACTCAGCCTATGGGGTGATAGATTGGGACCTCTGCTCTAGAGTGCCAAGAAATGCATTATTCTTTACCTGTATTTGAAGACTAGCATTCTTTTAAATATATGCACTAATAAAAATGTTAATGTTCATTCAAAAAAATTTTTTTTATTAATACCACTGTGTATACTAAGCTTAACAGTACTTACTTTTAGGACTCATGTGCACCATCTCTTCAGATTCCTCCTTGCTTTGCTTCCCAAATTATATGGCCATTTGGTAATACCCTTTTTTCCTTTCTGCCTTCCTTGACCCCTCTTTAAGCAGGTAGTCAATACTGCCTGAGTCTAATGCATTTGAACTTCTTCCCCCACAATCCCAGAAACCTATTTTCAGCTGCCCACCGTACTGGAACTGTTGACCTCATAAGCACCACATCTAATGGACTTATTCAGTCCTAGTCCCTTTGGCTTCCAAATGGTGTTAGCCATTATTGAATAGAGCCACTCCTTACTTGTTCTGCTCTTCTGCATCAGCTTCCCGCTCAATCAAACTATGTTCATTTCCCTCTCTATCCTTCTGTCCCTTGATGAATTCTGTATTTAAATTATCCAAGTCTGGTCTCTCTTCCTAATTACTACTGGACATTTTTACTTGATATCCAATGTACCACACCTACACAATATTTAAAAAATCAAACTTCCTCTCCTGCTCCTCTAGGAGCATCTCTTCCTGACTCCATTATTTCTCTCAATGGCACAATCATTCTCTCAAACCCAGGAAACATCTTTGATTCTTCCCTTTCCTTCCTTTCTCCTACATATCTAACTAGTTACCATGTCTATTGATTCTTGTGAAGTAATCTATTTTGTATCTGTGCCTTCCTTTCCAATCTTACAGCCACACCCTTGTCCAGAATCTTAGTTATAGCTTCACATCTGATTCATCATAACAGTTTCCTAATTGGTCTCTGCCTGAAGTCTCTCATTGCTACCATCCATCCTGCTCACTGCAGCCAGATATGCTTTATTTTCAAATAAAATTAAGTCCATTGTGCAGGGTTCATCCCTGCTCAAAGCTTCCGGTGGCATCTTGCACCCACAAGAAGTTCAGACATTGAAGTCTAGTGTTCAAGTTCTCCACAATTGTGCCTCCTCTTACGTCCTTACTTTATTATCCCCATCTCTCCCAGGGAGTTCTTCCTTCTGGGCTGATCTTTGTATTGTCTCATTCCCTCCCCTTGCTCCTTCCCACTGCTCAAACAATGCACCTCATCCCGGAAAGGGTGATCTCTCCCATTTTACTCCTGTTCACTCTCTTGATCCACCTCATTGACCATCTCCTTGCTGAAGCCTTCCCTGATCGTATTTCGGCTTGTCTTCATCAAAAATTGCTAGCCTTCTAAAGACAAGAAGTATATCTCTGGTTCATACACACTGTAGCCATAGTGATATAGCTGCAGTAAGTTTTCTATAATTATTTCCTAAATAAAGATGGTACTTATCTTAATGTCATCCATAGCTACTAGGTTGTACACTGAGTGGAATATTTTAATACATTTTAATGAGTGTGTTTTCAATATTTTTGTAACTTCTTTTATAGACATCATTTGTTCATCTTTCATGCATGTCTGAAAGATTTAAGAACATTAATTAAATGTCTAATCAATTTGCATCATAATTAACTTCATTCGAATTCTTATTTAGCATCCATGTTCTTTGTTTCCCCTTAGATAACATTTTTTCTTCTCAGGGAAATTTTTTTCCTATATTTGTATGTATATTACATATCCTTTACTAATTCCCATTTCTATTATTTTAGTTTTAAACTATAGTTTTTAGAATTTGAACTCAAAGAATCTGAATTGTATATAGTGTCTCATTTTTTCAGTTCTTTCTTCTTTGCAATGGGTAACCATTTTATTAACTTCTTATTTATCCTTCCAGAGAATTTGTAAGCCTGAATAAGCCAATATGGCTTCTTTTTTCACCTACTTTTCTTTACATTTCTTTTAAATATCTGTTGCACCTTACCTTTTCCAATTTACTATGTATCTTCAATTCAGAAAAGTCTTCTACATTCTTTTCAACAACTATCTAGCATTCCATAATATGATGTACCATAATTTGTTTAACCAGTTCCTCATTAACAGACATTTGTTCCAATTATTTACTATTACGCAAGGTGGGATATATACCTATACATTAACTTTTGGCACATATGCAATTATATGGCAAGGATAATTTCTGAGAAATAGAATTTTGGGGTCTAAGGCTATATGCTTTTGTGATTTGGACAGATTACTACCAAATGGCCTTCTCATATAATGAATTATTTTATACCCACACAAATGATGCATAAGAGTGCCTATTTCTTCAGTCTTATCAATACAGTTCATTATTGAACTTTTGGAGGTTTACCAATTCTTTAGGTAAAAAATTAATTAAGGGCACTTTTAATTACCTTTATTGAAGTATAATTTATATAAAACACAAAAATTTCCTCATGCCCCTTTATATCCAATTGCCTACCCCCAGCTCCAGCCCCAACAACAACTAATTTGCTTTCAGTCACTATAGTTTTGTCTTTTATACAACTTTACATGAACTTCATATAGTATGTACTCTTTTTCTGTATTTCTTTTCCTTAGCAAAATGTTTCTGAGCATCATTCATGTTGATGCGTGAACCAGTCTTTTGTTCCTTTTTGTTACAGAGTAGTATTCCATCGAAGGAATAAAATAAAATGTGTCCACCTATCAGTGGATAGATATATTGGTTATTTCCAGTTTGGGACTATGATTAATAAAGCTACCATGAATATTTAAGTATAAGTGTTTGTGTGAATATATGTTTTCATTTCTCTTGGATAAATAACTAGAAATGGCATTTCCGAATTGTATGATATATATTTTTAACACTATAAGAAACTGTCAAATTGTTTTCCAAACTTGCTATACCATTTTTTAAATTCTCACAAGCAATATCTGAGAGTTCCATTTGAACCATATCTTTACCAATACAAAATAGTGCCAGTTTTAAACTGTAGCCACATTAGTGAGTATGTAATGGTAATTGAGGTTTTAATTTGCTTTTTCCTCATGACTACTGATGTTTTTTCATGTGCTTACTTGCCATTCATATATTTTCTTTGGTGAAATGTCTATTCAAATATTTTGTCCAGCGTTTATAATGTTGTTTTCTTATTATCAAGTTTAAATGTTTTTATATATTTCAGTTAAAGTCTATTATTAGAGATATGTTTCACAAATATTTTCTTCCAGGATATGACTTGCCTTTCATTTTCTTAACAGACTCTTTTGGACAGCAAAATATTCTAATATTTTATTCTAATTTTAAGACCAATGTAACAATGACCAATATAGCAACTTAGTTTATACTTTGTGCCTTTTGTTTCCTAACTAATCTATGCTAACCAAAATCACAAAGATTTTTACCTATGCTTTTCTCTAGAAATTTATTAGTTTAGCTTTTATATTTCTATAATTTATTTTGAGTTAACTTTTGTGTATGATGTGAGGTAAGTATTGTTTCATTTTTTACATATAGATATCCATTTGTTGGAAAGCTATACTTTCCCTCTTGAATTACTTTGACACTTTTGTCAAAAATCAAATTATCATATATATGAGTCTACTTCTGAACTGCATTTTGTTCCATTGCCCTATGTGTCTATCTTTATACCAATACTACACTGTCTTAATTAACTTAAGCTTTATAGTAAGTCTTAAATTTAGGTTGTGTGAGACCTATAGTTTTGTTATTTTTCAAAATAATGTTGGTTAGTCTAGGTCTTTTTTATTTCCATATACATCGTAGAATCACCTTGTTAATTTCATAAATACTTCTGGAATCATGCTGAAATTGTAGAGCAATTTGGAGAAAATTGACAACAATATTGGGATTTCTAGCCCATAAACATGCCCTTTCTCTTCATTCATTTGCACCTTCTTTCATTTTCCTCAGCAATAGTTTACAGGTTTTATTGTTCAGATCTTGAATTTTAAAAAAACTTGTTCTAAAATGTGCTGGCAAATGATATTTTATTTTAATTTCCAGTTGTTTGTTGATGAAGTAGAAATATCTTTGATTTTTGTATATTGATCATATATCATGAGTCCTTGCCAAATTCACTTAATTTTCTAAATATGTGATCATGTTATCTGGAAATAGAATTTAAAATGTATCTTATTTGTATGCTTTTATTTCTTTTTCTTGCCATGTTACATTAGCTAATAGCTCTAGTACAATATTGAGAAAAAATAATGAGAGTAGATATCTTTGCCTTGTTCATCATCTGAGGGAAAAAGCCTTGGTCTTTTATCATTAATTGTGATGTAAGGTGTAATTATTTTGTAGTTGCCCTTTATTATATTGAGGGATTTTCTTTCTATTCTCAGTTTAATGAGAGCTTTTTTATGAATGAAAGTTGAAGTTGTCAAATGCTTTTTACACATCTGTTGAGATGGTTATATGGTTGTGTTTTTTTAGTCTATCAGTATGGTGAATTCCACTGAACTCTATTTGTTCATGATGTATTATCCTTTCAGATGTTGGTTATTACTTACTAAAACTTTGTCAAAG